CTTTAAACTTGAACCCCATTCAAGTATCTGAGAAGTCTTGAAGCTGACTTAGGCTGAATGAATCACCCACTCTGTATTGTGAAAGCACTTAAGTTATACCTCATCTTTGTTACTGTAATGATTGCATTTCTCTCTTCTGTACTGGGTAGTGATCTCTCTCTAACCCTTGAATAACAAGCACACAGTGCAAAACGGGGCCAATATACTTTGTATTTAGGAACTGATTCAATAATTGAATGAATTGGACTGGATTGGAAAATTCCATGAGAATAAGGTTCATTTCTGTTTTTGCTGTCTGCGGTATGCCCAGCTCCTAACACAGTACCTGTCACATGGGAGGGATTTTGTTAAGTGTTTGTTGTGTAAACACTGGATGATGGATGATGCAATTCTGAAGTTCATTGAAAGTGACTGGTGGATAGAACTCTGAGAAGACTTTGTGAACAAGTAAGATGCATTTCATAGCAACTTAATCTTGGGTGCAAAAATGTCAATAGATATTCATAACTATTCTAATGTTATATCTCAAACTCTTTGTATCCTCACCCGGTTTCCCTTCCCATCCTGCAACTGCCCCATCCCATGTATTACAATCCTTGTATTCATCTTCTTGTTATCATGTGCATACCGCTTGAACTTTCAACACCATGTCTTGTGTCTTTCCTTCTCTCATATTTCTAACCTACAACACAAATGTACTGAGCATTTCCCATGTGCTAAGTATTGGGCAAGTTGCTGCCCACGCGGGTAACAGTACTCATCCACCCACCACATGCCCCTGGGAGTAAGTTTTCTAGAGGAAGAAATAAGCATGGAAAGAGCTCATAAAGTTGGTTAAGGCCTAACACAGAGGCTAAAATGCTATAAGAGTACAGGAGATTTTTTAAAATTTATTTATTTATTTGTCAGGGAGAGAGAGAGAGAGCATAAGCCAGGGGGAACTGCAGGCAGGGGGAGAAAGAGCTCTCCACTGAACAAGGATCCTGATGCAAGATTGGATCCCAGGACCCTGGGTTCAGGAACTGAGCTGAGGCAGACTCTTCAGCAACCGAGCCACCCAGACATCCCATGCAGGGGACTTTTTTCACATTTTCCCCGTGTCTAGGGTGTCACTTCCCCAAGTCTCCCCTCCTCCCACATAGCTGGTGATATTCTACTTGCCCTTTAACAATCAGACCCACATCTTCCTCCTCCAGGAAGTTTTTCTAAATGTTTTGTGTTTAATGTTTTCCCTCACTTCCCCACCCCAATATGCTTCTCATCATATTTGTTGCAATTCTGCACTAGACTGCATGCCTCTAGGTCAGAAACTATACCATTTCCATTCTTGTGCCCTCCTACAGTTCTTTAAAAGTTGTAGGTTTATTGAATGGAAATATCTGTCTTTTTTTAGTCATGACTTCCCCCCGCTCACACCCCATGCTTCAGCACATGATTTATTTCCTCTCAAAGATCTCAGAGTTATTTCTCGTGCTGTTCTTTACCTATATGTTGCGGTAGGTTGCCATGGTTACCACTACGTATTAGAAACGTTTATCTCCTGTTGAACTTCTCTCTTTTGAATTCAAAATGAGGAACTGATTGGTCAACTAAGTGGATGGCTTGTTTTCTAGTCAGACAAGTGTTTGCTTCACAGTAGAAATCAACTTACCAGTAATCATTTCTTGCATTTGGAAACATGTTTTTTTTTTTTTTTTAATTCTTTGGATATCTAGATTTTTGTTTAAACTTTTTTTTCCCCTTGATTCCACAAGAAATGATTTTGAAATCTGCAGTATTTATTTTTAGGAATACTTTATTGTGCTTAAAATCATACTGTGTGTCTCAGGTATGTGTGCCAAAGGGTCTAGAGATGCAACTGCTTATAAGAATTAGAGTTCATCACACATGATAGGCTAAAGTTAATGGTTATTTATAGGTCACCAATGTCCCAAAGCTACCCCTACCATGCACGGGCATGCTTAGAATGTAAAATATTTCTTTTATATCTTTTTCCAACATGCTATAGGTCTAATAACTTTGAAATGGCTTTTTTGTATTTTTTTTCTTGATACTTCTTTTGGTTAAAACTAGTTAATTTAAATTTTTTGAGTGGTCAGCTTTTTCTGAATAGTAGATCAGACCTGAAACTTTTCCATCGATTTTTTGGGAATATTTCTTAATTTGAAATATTTTTTTTTCTAGACAAAGCAGCTCCAAGAAAGACCTGTCCCTGGCCTACCTTTTTATCCTTTGTGGAAAGAAGAGAAAATCTCACAAGAAAGCATACTTACACCATTGACTCACAGGCCCATTGAATACCCTTAAGCATACCCAGCCCAAATTTCAAGTTCATGCTCATGGGTTTGGTTAAGAAGAAGAAAAAGAAGAGAGCTAGCAAGAGATCAACACACAGCTATTTTGTACCCTTTTCTTTGCTTGCTCTGTTTCTCTGATTCTATTTCTCTGTTCGTGATAAGTCCATAAGAGTTGACCCTTTGTTTTACTCAATGCTATATTCTCAGAACCTCAGACAGTGGCCTGGTACATGGCTTATGATTCATACTCAAGGGTGAATGAACTAATGAGTGAATGAATGAAAAGGCTTTGAGTTAGAGGTGTTTCTTCATATTTGTAACACATACTATAAATCCTAAATCAAATGTGTTTAAATAGTTTTCACATAAGTGATACTTGATAAGTCAAAGAAATAAGTTTCTTTTAGTACATTCTTAAGAAGTGCTGTTGACAAGGGCAGTAGTAATTTTTAACTTCTTATCCGGAATAGTATGCTTTTCCAGTTTATCATGAATTGTGGGAATCCACCTTGTCTAAGTGATAGAGACGTACGTAGCACACTGTTAACACTGGGGCTGGGTGTGGCATATATGCAGGGCCACAGGATAGGGTAGGGAGACAGTGTCAGGTGGACTTAAAACAAGGGCCTCAAAACAGGTAGATCTAGATTTAAATTTTAGCTCTGACACTACCTAGCTCTATGACACTGGCAATCCCTTAACCTTTCTAGGCCTTTATACCCTTGTCTATAAAATGGACATAAAAGCATTCCAGACTTGCTAAGGTTGGAATAAAAGTCCGATGGGATAATGGAGTGCATGTAAATACATGTACCCATGCAATTTTTCCAGCCCAAGGAGAGGTGTTCATTCTTAGTTAAGAAGCTAGGGTAAAACCTTTGTTCATCTGTCTGGAAAACTGAGTTTTAGCTTTGCTCTGTGTTATCTAGAATACCTCTTTATCTGTCTGTCTCATTATTTTTTTTCACCTGCAGATCTAGAGCATATTTAGTCTGATCTGTCTACTTCATGGGGATTTAAGAACAGCTAAGCTAACAAATGAGAGAAGAAAATAGCTTTGAACTGTTTAAATGAAAGGTGCCACAAAAATCAAATAGAGTTCTATAGATAGTCTAAACTCAATTTAAACCAAATCTGACATAAATTCATTATAAGAGTACAGGTCTCTGTGGCCTTATACTTTGTGATAACCTAAGAGGATTGAAATATTTTGCTGATGTGACAGGTGTCTAGAAACACTGCTTATCAAAACAGGATAAATTGCATTCAGAAAATAACTGAGCATATAATAGCTCCCTCTTGATGATCATCTCCATGAATCAAAAGTGTAGCGATATTCTTAAAAGACATAGTTCCTATGACAAAGGATTGCAAAATATGCCACTCCGTGTAACTGTCATATTTCAAAACACATGCTCCAGGAATTGAAGTAAGAAAACCTCACATATTCAAGAATCAGAGTTACATATGTAGATACAGTAAATCTAAAGTACAAGTCAATAATAACCTTCCTGAATTTTCGAGATCTAAAGGACCTTGGGCATAACCCAGTTCATTTTCGTCACAGATTAATTAATGATTTTTTTTAAAGAAAAAAGTTTTTCTAAAAGCGAATGTTCCACATGGAATTTTTTGACAGTTGATGTATTTTTTTCTTTGAGAGAAAAACAACAACAACAAATAAAACAATATAAGCCAATTAGTGAGGCTCAGAGAGCCAGAACAGGATCCCAGTTATGTTGAGTGAGGTATTTCAATCTCAGAATTTTACAAATCAGTAGAAGTATATAAAAGCATAATTTTGGAGTAGAAATAAATAACTCTTGATAAGACTTATAAAATATCTTTTCATTTTAGACTCTGAAGTCTCTAATATTTAATTGTAAAAAGTAAATGGGATAAGTAGAAGGAAATGCCAAAAATGTTTGTCAGTGACCAATAGAGAGATTCAACAGAGCCATCAAGGATGCTGAAACTAGGGGCGCCTGGGTGGCTCACTAGGTTAAGTGGCTGCCTTTGGCTCAGGTCAAGATCCCAGGGTCCTGGAATTGAGCTCTTTGTCTGGCTGGCTCCCTGTTCAGTGGGGAGTTTGTACTCTCCCCTGTTTGTACTCTCTTTCTCTCTCTCCCAAATAAATAAATAAAACCTTAAAAAAAAGTAAAGAGAGAAAAAAACAAAATAAAACAAAACAAAACAACAACAACAAACACTGAAATCAGGCACCTAACATGAGACCTCAATTGTCAGAGTGGCTGGCTTCCCAAATTAATATAATCACTAAACAAATGTGGAAAAATGAAAAATAAGCATTTCTTAAATAGCAGCACATGAACTTCCTTAAGATGCCTTAGTTGTTTTCCAAAACTTTAACCTTGTTTAACAATTTTTTTTTTTAATCTTGTTTAACTATTAACACGGATTTCCAAAATTCAAATACAGGATCCTGAGACAGGAAGCTTGTACTTTAGAATCCGTATTTCAGTTAGAAGTCCTATTTTCCTTTTGTAGAAAGTATAATGAAACTTCATATTTATTCTTTGCAGAAACATCATCAAAAACTCAACCAAAGTAGTTTGTAAAAGATGCAGCTGGCATAGATATTTGTATGTTCTGTGCAAAATTAGCTGTGTGTGTGTATATGCATTTGTATGTTTTCTGTGCATGTATTTAAATGCTGAACATCTTTTCTTTTACTTCTTCTAGGGCTGTCAGAAAATACAGAACTTTAATAATGTGGTAGCTGAAGGCCTGAACTTGAGTTTTCTCATCGCCTTGGTTTCGAACAATGGAGATTACACATGTGTTGTTACATATCCAGAAAATGGGCGTACATTCCATCTCACTAGGACTCTGACTGTAAAGGTGGTAGGTAAGCATGATTTTTAAGTGCACACAACAAAAATGCAATAACTCTATTTTGGCTCTTGATAGTTTATTACAAACAACTGTGTCCATTCTATGAGGGAAGAGGTTTATCTCTTTTTGTTCCCTGCACTATCCCTAGAGCCACAGCAATTCCACATACAGAGTAGGGATTCGATAACTGTTGGTCTACTGAATGAATGAGGATGTGAATGAATGAAGGCAGTTTGGGGAATGAAAAGAGTGCCAGAGGAATCTGTATTCAGCTTGTACTCTTGCCATTTATCTTATTTATTTATTTGATAGAGATAGAGATCACAAGTAGGCAGAGAGGCAGGCAGAGAGAGAGGGGGAAGCAGGCTCCCTGCTGGGCAGAGAGCCCGATGGGGCTTCGATCCCATGACCCTGGGATCATGACCTGAGCCGAAGGCAGAGGCTTAACACACTAAGCCACCCAGGTGCCCCTACCCTTGCCATTTATAAGCAATATGACTTTGATCAGGGTCTGAGTCTCCTTATTTGTACTCTGGGACTAAGAGTACCTAACAATCAGTATAGCTGAGAATATTAGAAATAATATACATATTATGCGAGTCCAGTTCCAGGCAAACAGCAGAGACTCAATGAATTAAGTAGTTAAAATTATTGTAAAAAAAAAAAAAAAGTGTTGTATTTGAATTCAATCAACTCTTTCTGTAGACTGGAATTGGGGTAGCCGAAACCGTTTGCTGGTGGTATTCAGTCATTGCTTTGCACTGGTTGAGAGAACAGGGGATGAGAAATTCAGAAAGTGGAAAGACAATGTCCAGACAGAGTCAAAAGATTCCTATCAAACCCAGAAATCAAGAGAACCAGTGTCAGCATTTAGGGGAGAGCCCTAAATACCATTGTGCCCATGATACTAAAAATGAGAGCGTATCAGAGTGAGAATTTTTCACACCCCATCTTTTCATAGATGGAAGCATCGAGACCCAATAACACAAAGTAACCTGTTTAGAGATGCTCTGTGAGTTAGTGTAAGAAGTGATTTCCAGATCTCAGGTTTCAGATTCTGGTGCAGGGCTTTCTCTATTACCCTGACACCAGGTTCAGCATAATTTTTAAGGGCTCTAACATAATAGGGCAAATAAAATTCAAATTGAAAAATTTTGTAATCACCCCTCCTCTTCCTGTGCCTACTTTTGGAATAATGCTGAGCTGGGAATTAATTCAGAAGAAAAATCAGACTACGTTTAGAATTTAACACAAATGGGCTTTGTAAGCCAAATGAATAACCTAACCTTAAATCTGTCTTGGCAATTGTTTCTGATACAGATACTTAAACACATCTGTTTTGGGGAAGTTGAGAACAGGCATGCTTGCTCACCTTGATTTATAGATAGAGAAGTTGATAGACACTGATGTGTGGTAGGGTTCTAATCCAACTTTCAAGCAACACAAGTTTGTTTTTAAAGCTGTGGAGTACTGAGTACTTCCTATATACCAGTAGGATGCTTTAACATGCATTACTGAATTTAATATGCATGACTTAATTTAATCTTTCTAATGAACCTGTGCGGTGAGTTTAATTATCCTCATTGAAGAGGTGAGGAAAATTAGCTTCTCAAAGATTAAACAAAAAACCAGAGTTGTATGGCTAGTATATGGCCAAGTAAGGATAAGAGCCCTGGTTGTTAAATATTTGAAGCTTCTGTTCTTAAACACTACACTATAAAACCCCTTCAGGGTATTTTTCTTTCAATTTAGAAATACAGAATGTTATAAAGAGCAGCCGTCCTATAAACAAGCAGTCAACTGCCAGAGGCATTGGATAGACGGATGGGCTGGCCTCACAATTGTGGTTTTGAATTTTCCATTTACTTATTCATTCATTTAATATTTACTTCTTTAACCAGGTCCTATACTAGATACCTGGGGCATGTTCTGGAGAAATATTTAGAAAAGAAACAATTGAGGAAGACATGAAAACGATTTATATTAAAATCTGAGAAGGGCATTTCATGTACTCTTTGGGAAGCAAAAACACTGGTTGAATCTCCATCCAAAAACATGGAGGCCACTGTTCATGTTCTGTTTGTCTCTTTGCTTGTCTGAAATGAACGAAGTGTTGTAAATGACTCTCCATTGAGCTGTGGGCCTTTGCAGGAAGAATTGACAAACTGTGCCAGGAAGTTGGGCAAACTTTACAAAAGAACTGCTCTTGGAAATGAGTTATGAGAGATGAGGGCTACATGATTTCACATCATCTCTCTTTTGTTTCTTCCTCTCTAAAACAGGCTCTCCAAAAGATGCATTGCCTCCTCAGATCTATTCACCCAATGATCTTGTGGTCTACGAGAAAGAACCGGGTAATTATAGCTGTGCCTCTTAATTTCAGTTAGATTCTCTTAATGACAAAGAAGAAAATGTCATTTAAGTTAATGCATGCAAATAGAGGGCTTTGTAAGGAAACACATGAATTGAAACTGAAATGTTGTCAGAAACCAAGGCAGCTCTGGAGATTAGCTCCTCCATCAGAGATCTCTCAGGCATCTTTAGCATTCTCAGCTTCTCTCTCCATAGCTACTCCCTTCTTCCCCTGGCTCCTCTCTCCTGATTAGTGATTTCTGTCTGATGTACATGTTAGCTTGCACACAGCTTGGTTTTCCAAGGCTGCGATGTGAGCACAAGATAGCCTTTAAGCTTCTGCTTCACTGCAGAGGGGCAAGAGTTGGAGCTTGGAGGGGAGACTGTGAGTTTAATGGGTTAACAGCTGGTAGAACTAGTATACCCTGATTAGAACGCTATGGGGTGTTCCCTATGGCTATCTGGGTCTCCTTTAAAAAAGGAGGTTTTTTTAGTTTTCATAATTTTCCATTCTGGACAAAAATCATTTGCAACTGACCGAATAAGCCATCGTGTGTTATTCTTCTGGCTCAAAACCTCCCACAGTTAAACTAAAAACTGAAACTGAAAACCATAGAAAATTTTACAATTTTCTATATTGTATCCTTTACAATAAACTCTCTCCAAACCCAATGAAAGGTGTAAAAGAACATATTTTTAAAAATGTACTAAAGATAACAGAGGTTGTGATCAAATGCAGGTAGAGCACAATGATGCCCTCCTAAAACTAAGATAAGGTTTCAAATATCAAACTGCCTGTAAAAAAAAAAGAACCAAAGGGGTCTGCCAATTCCAAGTGGACCAAATTTCCTAGAATTCATAGTGGTTTTGTATAGTACAGTGAACATTCTTCCTGCTATCCAGGTAAACCCTTACTAATGATCTAGTCTACCTGTCATATGGTTACAGACTCTATGTTCATGTTATCTTCTTGCATATCAATATAGAAACTGAAAGGGAAAACATAAGAATCATGCCATTAGAAGAGGGGTTGGGGTAGGACCACTCAGTAAGACAAACTTGCTTTCAAATTTGGATGACAATATAATTTGTCATCTCAACCTGCACACTTTTTGAGAGTAAAAGCAGTTGATATCAAGAACTAACTAAGAAAGCAAGCATAGAACAGAGCTGTCCTGGGTAACCTGCAATGGAAGTCAGTCTCGGTTGAACTCTGCTCTGCCTCTTATTAACAGTTTCATCTAGGGAGAGCAGCTAACATCTTGAAGCGTCAGTTTTCACATCTATAAAACATGAATTAAAAAAATACCCCATGATATTTTGTTAAAATTGTATAAGACCGCTAGTAAGTATAAACACAGCACCGTGAGTATATAAAGGTCTTAGTGAGGGTGCTGCTCCTTTTCTTCTTATTATCATTTTCTGCCTGGAGATCCTCCTGACCTCATGTTCCATCTCAGGAAGATAACATAGATTTGTTATTTATAAATGCTAGTATTTATAAAGATGTCAATTTTTGTTATATATGTATATACACACACACATGTTTTTATGTAAATTGTCTTTAAACTTATTGACCACATCCTGACAACCTGAGCATTTCAAGATGTGGCCTTCCCCTAAGTGTTGGCACTGACCCATCTTTTCTGGGCCAAGCACCAAAGGTCTGGAGAATCTCTCCTTAGTCACTGCTCGTGAGGGAAATAACAAAGGTTAGGGGTAGTCCATGGAAGTTTTGGGCTAAAAAGGATATTGTCAGAGCCTCTTTGAACAAATACTGTGGTACAGCGTATATGGATTGTATAAAAAAGATTGCCATTCTGGAAAGTTTGCATAAAACTGCTGTATTTCTTTTCTTGGTTTGTTTATTTTGCAATGAGGTATGGTACGGTACTATGGTAGGCCACTTGAAACTTAGAAGTAGAGCTTTAAGTACACTTTTATAGCTTCTGGTTAGTCACAGAGTGAAACCAGTGTAGCCTTGTGAAGGTTACACACTGATGGGTTAACTTGTTTTTTTAGGAGAGGAGCTACTCATCCCCTGTACAGTCTATTTTACTTTCCTGAAGGACGCTCGCAATGAGGTTTGGTGGACCATTGACGGAAAAAAGCCAGACGACACCAACATTGATGTAACTGTTAATGAAAGGTACCATTGGCTCAGACAAGGGGTGATCAATGCTTGTCCCTCAGTTGAATGCCTTCTGGTGTATACTGATCATTGAAAGTCAAAACTCTGACTTTGGTGCATCATTACCCAAAATCTGCAAGATTCTCAAGTCTTTAGTGGCCACATCCCAAAGTAGGATCCCTGAACTTGCAATTCAAGACCCAGGTATCTTCCGATGATCACACATTCATGATTCCCACTTGAAAGTAGATGGGATGCAGGATGCCTGGGTGGCTCAGTCGTTAAGTGTTTGCCTTGGGCTCAGGTCATGATCCCAGGGTCCTGGGATGGAGCCCCGCATTGGGCTCCCTGCTCAGTGGGGAGTCTGCTTCTCCCTCTCACACTCCCCCTGCTTGTGTTCCCTCTCTCGTTCCCTCTCTCTGTATCTCTCTCTGTCAAATAAATAAATAAAATCTTAAAAAAAAAAAAAAAGTAGATGGGATGCATAGCCCACATGAATGAGAGGCCACAATCCATGGCTCTGAATACATGAAAGCTGGTTGGCGTGGCCCTGCTCTTTTCTTTCTCCAGTCTGGAGTCTAGACCTCTGTATTTATGCCTCAGATAAATTGTGTTATTTATCTTGTCTTGCTGTCTTCCTCCTCATTCTTAACTCACATAACATGTCACATTTATAATTGATAGTTATTTTTTAAAAATATTGACTAAATACATTCATGTTCTTTAAATTTTATTTTTTTTAAAGTGGATGAGGTGGTAATATAGCCCACTCTTAAAATAACAAGCTGGCTTATTTTATTTCTAAATAAATGTAACTTTTTTTGAAGGGTGTGAGGTCGACAAGGAGGAAAATATGGGTCTTTGAAGATAAAAGATCCTTTTGTAAATGAAGTACACAATTGCAAGACAGTTGGTTCACGGCGATCGTAAATAAAAAGCAGCAGCCGACCAACTACATGACAAAGTCGTTCTAAGACGGGAGCCTTAACATGATATACAAATGGATCTTTAGCTACTTGAACTTCTGGGATTCAAAAGCTAGGTCATTCCTTGTAGTAAACTCAGACTTTGTGCAGAAGTTATAAGATGTCTGCTTGACACTAAGTGCTATGCAAGATACTTCGTCCCTAACTGAGTAGATTTTATCAGGGTAAGAGTGATAGAGCAGAAATTTCAATATTTTGTGATAAATGCAGTGACTGGAGAATATTGGATGTTATTGGAAGCTTGAGTTGAAGATTCCCGTCAATGTTAGGGGATTAGGCAGTGCTTCTCAGATGGTACAGTACCTAAATAAAGATTTGAAGGATGAGTAGAAATAAACTAGGTAAAGAAATAAAAAGAATGTTCCTGGTTAAAGGAACCTCCTGTGCGATGGGTGGAATTTAGAGAAGCAGCACATATTTAAAGGTACAGAAGGAGCCTCCTGAAACTGGAGCAGCTTTTGCAGAAGGAATAGATTAAAGATGTGGCGGGAGGCATAAAGGGAGAGTTATTGATCCCCTCAGGATTTCTGAATATTGTGGTTCCTATCCTCATAATAACACCGAATGAATGATAATGAAAGTCATGCTGTCTATCCTCACTGCTGCTGCAACACAGCTCAGTGCCCAGAGTGGAGCGGCGCAGTTCAGTTAAGGCTAAACCCATCACACACTTGACCAAGTTCTCATGACCGACGGTCTGCCTCACTGGAAGGAGTACCCGGATGTCAGCTATAGGAGAGAGATTTTGTTTTCTCTTTGGAGCAAGTAGTTCCAAGGGATTTTAAGTCTTGGTCTTGGATTCAAAGCACTTGATCTCTGACATGCTGAGATGTGGATGTATTTTCATAAAGTGTACTTGCTTCGAGAAGTCTCTTCTTTTTATATGTTAGGATTTAACCCATGGAGTTTCATCCTTTTTATTTTCTACTCTCTTTTCTCTTTTCTATTCTTTATTTGTATTCTATCTATGTTCAAAATCCAAGCTTTGGGAATCCCTGAAATGAATGAACTATTGCTGAGGATGGTATTAATAGCCTATATGAATATGTATTAAGCATTTTTCTAATACTTACACGTTGATGTACTCAGTCTTCAAAGTGCTTGAGTGAATCAACACATGGGACGTACTGCGTAGGCATTGCTACTTACCTCTCTTTCAAAGGAGGAACTCAAGACTTGGAAAGATTAGTTACTGTACCAAAAGTATATAGCCAGTAAGTGGCAAAGCTTGGATGAAAACCCAGATGGATATGGCCTCAGAAGCATCTCTCTACACTGATACAGAATACTGTCTCAGAAGTTTGAGGGAAGGAGACATTTTACTCTGAAGAGAGATCTGCCGTATGTTGCCAGCACTGGGATTTGATCTAGATACTGGGATTGTGTGTGCTATAGAAGGTAAAGAATGGCACTGGAATTTAGAAGTTATCCTCCCTTTGTAACCATTGGCTCTCAGGCAACACAGCTCATGGATGTTCTGGCTGCCCTCACTTGGGGGCCCTGTGGTTGTCTCCTTATCTGATTCATTCCCAGAACATGGCCCTGTGGTATCACTCATGCTTTGATTTTCTTTCCCCTATTTCTAGTATAAGTTTGACCCCAACCGAAGATGAAACGAGGACTCAGATTTTGAACATCAAAAAAGTTACTGCTGAGGATCTCAAGCGCAACTATGTCTGTCATGCTAGAAATGCCAAAGGGGAGGTTGACAAAGCAGCCAAGGTGAAACAGAAAGGTAATGGATGCCCTCAGCAGATGAGTCTGTGAACTCCAAGTGTAACAGTGTGGTGATAAGGAAAATAAGAAGACAGTGCTCCAGCAGCTAGCACATCTGGCACATAGTAATGAATCAAAGGTGAATTGAAAAAATCTTGAGGGATAGTTTCCATCTATGTGAAGACACTCGGAATATTGTTTCTTATACTTTTAGTAACTTAGTGCACAAATGTGGCCCAAAAAAGCCATACGATTATGAAAATAAGGCATAATTTTATATCCGTACAGTCATGAAAAATGAAAAATAAAGAAAATATTTAAAGCTACCAAAGATATAATAAAGCTGGTAGAATCCCATATAATTGGTGGATTGTAAAGACCCTTTTAGAAGTCACTGATGGCAGAGTTCGAGGGTCATAAAAATGACCATACCATATGACTTAATACTTTTGGAATTTTTCCTGAACAAATAACAGAAAGAGAATTATGTACCCATTGCTATTCTTAGAAGCATTATCTATAATAATGAAACATTATAAATAGCAACCATCTAATTATTTTCAAGTAGTTAAGGAAAATATGAAATATTTCTTCTCAAAAATATAGTTTTTAAATGATCATTTTAAATACTATGTATCAGTTTTCAAACAGATTTATAACATACCACTAGCCACAGTTGCTAATATGAAAATTATTTAAACTGTGACTTAAAGTAATGTAAAAGGATTTCTATGTTGATATTACTAATTTTTTTATAAAATAAATAAAAGTGATAAAGCTCTCTTGTGTGAGCTGTTGCTCCTGAAACAGACTGTGTCTAAAATTATCTTTGGGTCTCTCACCTAACACAGAACCCCAGACAATCACTCCCTTCAAGAATGTGTTTCAGTGACCTAGAGAAAGATAATGATGATTTATCACACAGGTAGTCATGTCATTCAGAATCATTGTGGATCCTTGTGTCAGAGAGAGCCTGTAATATTTATACCAAAAAAAAAAAAAAAAAAAACCCAACAAAACAAAACAAACAAAAAAAACTCATAGCTATTACATTTTGCAGTGGAATTTAACCCCCCTCCTTTTTTTTTTAAAGCTGATGCAAAAACAAGCTTCATTTTAACATTTCATTGCAATTTAGAAAGTAAAAAGCAAAGTACTGACGTCTATATGCCACTTAAGAAGTCTTAGTGGATTGGTTCTGGAGAGTTCATCACTTCTGCCCCTCAGAAGCCGGTGTCAAGCAGTGAGACTCAACCAAATAATAGAAGGAAGTTTCCCAAATTAGTTCCTAAGAACACTACTAGGACTCTTTATAGTACTGTAGTTCATTATTTGTACTCTAGACTCAGATGGCCTGTGTTGGAATCCTGGTTTCTGTGCATCCTAGCTCTGTGATCTTGAAAAAAATCACTTAACCTCTCTGAGCTTCAAGTTCTTTATATTTAAAGTAGGCAAATGATACCACTATCTCATGAGATTGTTTTAAGGTATTCAGCACAATTACTGTCCTATATACATGTATATTAAGTGCTCAACAAATATTAAGTCTACTTATTATTTCCACAAAATTTTCACAGGTGTAATTTGACAAAAGCTTTTACAGTAAATAAAGTATCATTAAAGGCTAGGTTAAATAAAACTAATCAAGTTATTTTAGTCAAGGGCCCCTTGGAGTCTTTCACACTATTAACAGTTGTTGTGAATATCTGAGTGGAACTGGAACATAGGAGGCAGGGTGGTTTTATTTTCCAAATATATTTGATTCCTGAAGTATGGGGCATTTCGTGGGAGTCGTTTTTTGAAACATGTGTTCTGGGAAACAATTATGGAGGATGACATAAATTAATTACTTATTGTCAGATAGATATGATTAAACAATCAACTAAAATCGTGTTTGTTCTTGGAGTGATGCAGAAGTCTGCCTGCCGGAGCTATGTGAGTAGCTCCCTTTCACACAGGGCCATGCTCTGAATGGTTGAGTGTGAATGGCGTCAGGAATGTGAAATGACAGGTGCATCCACTGGATTGGCTGATCTCTGCTAAAATTACATCAGTATTATGTAGAATCCAGCCTGGGCTGTGTACATCCTGTGGTACCAGAAGTGTTGTGGGGTTGTCACTTGGCTCCTTTTCTGGGCCAGGTAATGCTGGGATTCAAAGGTGATAATCTGGGTCCACATTCATATGTTCTATGTATGAGTGCTTCTCTGGATTCATTGACAAAGCATTCTACGTCTTTCATCAAAAAATTGACAGGAAGGGCTCAGAATAAGAAGAATTCACTGGGCTAGGTCTTTGGACAGCGCAATTTCATCTAATCAGTTAAAGCAAAGTATGAAAGGAGAGCCAGCTAATGTAAATGTGTTAAACATGCGGTGATTTTATAATAGGAGAGAGGTAGGGACTAAGGCAAGGTGTGTTGAACTTCATGAGAAACTGCCAAAGCTATTTCCAAAGAGGTTGTACCATTTTCTACTTCCTCTAGCAATGTATATAAATTCCAGGTGCTCTACATCCTTACCAACTTTTGGAGTTGTCAGACTTTTCAGTTGTAGCCATTGTAGTAAATGGGTACTAGTATCACGCTATATTTTTTTAATTTGCATTTTCAGATACTAATGATGTTAAGTACTGTTTTATGGACATTCTGACAATTAATAGTTCTTCCTTTATGAAGTATCTATTAAAATCTTCAGCCCATTTTGTTCTTGGGTTGCTTGTTAATATATATATGTCAGATATATGACTTTGTGAACATTTTCACCGTTGTACAGAATTTTATTTTTTTATTTTATTATTATTTTATTTTATTTTATTTCTATGAGCAGAATTTTAAAACATTGATGAAGTCCATTTTATCAATTCTTCTATTACGGTTTATACTTTCTAAATCCTGTATTAGCAATCTTTGGTTTTTAAAAATGATTTTTAAAATCTTGATTTTTTTTTTTTTTTATACTTAGGCCTATGATTCATTTCAGCATTTTTGTTTACACTGTGAAGTATGGATTAAGGTTTAGTTTTTTGCTTTATTTTTGTTTTCCATATAGAAATCAGTTATTCTAACCTCATATTGAAAAATCTCTCCCTTTTTTATTGAACTGTTTTGACAGCTTAGCCTAAAAAATTAACTCTATGAGTGTGGGTCTATTTCTCCATTCCCTATTCTGTTCTATCAATCTGTTTGTCATTAGTCCAATACTACTTTATCTTAACTAATAGCTTTAAAGTAATCACGAAGTCAGAAACTATTGTCTTCCTCCTTTTTTCTTTTCAAAGATTAATCAAAATATTCTGAAGACCATATTATCCTTTCATATAGATTTTAGTATTGGCTTGTCAATTTCTACATGAGTCTTCTGGGCTTAGATTGGATCATATTTAATTTATAAACCAATTTGAGGAGAATTGAAATCTTAATGATATTGAATTTTCCAATCCATGAACATGATATATCTCTCAATTTACTTAATTTTCATTGATTTTTCTCAGCTCCTTTTTTTTTTCTAGTTTTATTTATACAGGCTTACACATGTTAAATTTATCCCTAAGTATTTTGTTTTTGTTACTATTGTAATGGTATTTTTAAAATTCCACTTTTCAATTGCTCATTGATCATAACTAGAAATGAATTAGTTGATTTTTATGTTTTGATCTTGGTCTTTTGACTTTTCTAAATTCACTGCTTAAATAGGGTTTCTGCTTGTTTAGTTAGGTTCCTTAGCATTTTCTATACACTTGATTGTGTCACCCATATATAAGCATACTTTTCCTCCTTCCTTTTCAAACGTTATGCCTTTGATTTCTTTTTTCCGCCTCTTTTACTCTCTTGGACCTCGCAGTTCCATGATCAGTAGAAATCAGAGCAGCTTCACTTGCATTGTTCCCTATCTTAGAAGATATGCATTCAGTTTTTATATATTAAATATGATGTTAATTATAGGTTTTTCGAAGCTGGCTTTTATCTATATGAGAGATTAATCTATTTTTGGTTTGTGTAGAGAATTATATGTAATTCTCGCACGTGTGTGTGTGTGTGTATGTGTGTGTGAGTATCTGTTGAAATTTATCAAATGTTTGGCGTGGTTTCATTTGACTGTATCTTACTTAGGGTTCTTTAAACTTCTTGGTTCCATGGATTTATTATATTTTTCATTTAGTTTGAAAAAAACTTCAGCAGTTACTTCTTCAGATATGTTTTGCTCATTTATTCATTCATTCATTCTTTCCTTTTCTTCTAGTAGTACCATCAAATTTAGCATCGATCATTCAGGGATGTTCTACAGGCCACTGAGGTGCTCATTTTCATTTCATTCTTTCTTTCTTCCTGTGTTTCAGTTTAGGTAGTTTCTAGTTTTCCACTAATAATTTCTTTTTTGATGTTTAGTCTGCAGCAATTTTAATTTCAGAATTGTATTTTTCAGTTTTTGGATTTCCATTTTGCCATAAAAAACATCCCTATTGATATTTCCTATTTGCTCTTAATGATGTCCATTGTCTTCTTTTTTAATTCAACAGGAATATTTATAATACTCATTTTAAAGTGCTTATATGCTAATTCCATCATCTTTGTCAATTTTGATTTTTTTTAAAGATTTATTTATTTGAGAGAGAGAGAGCATGCAAGAAGGGTGGGGAGGGGCAGAAGAGAGAGAGAGAATCTTAGGCAGACTCACTACTGAGAGCAAAACCCAAGGTGGGTCTCCATCTTAGGACCCTGAGATCATGATCTGAGTCAAAGCCAAGAGTCAGACACTTAGCTGTTAGAGCTGTCCAGGTGCCCCTCTGATTCTGTTTTTGTTGGCTGATTTTTCTTCTCATTATGGGTGGGTTTTTTGTTTTGTTTTTTTGTTTTGTATTTTTGCTTTTTCTTGTCTTTTATTTTTTTAACATATGCTGGACATTATGTATGTTGCATTATTGAGTGTCTGATTTTTGAAAGTGAGTATTGTTTTGTTCTCACGGGTAGTTATTTTGCTTGCTTAACGGCTTGCTTTTTTGAAGTGTTCTGCTTCCCATTGCTAGAGGACATCTGAAAAATATCCTTTTCTCCAAGGCTAGATTGGACATATCTAGACTATCTGGGCTGTCTACTAACACATGGGAGCTACCCAAAGTGTCTTTACTCAGGTCTTAGCTCAAGTGTCCCCCAACCCTGCATGTGCACCTTGAGTTGTTCAGCTCCCAGTTTCCTGATAGCTGTTCCTTCCCTGGTAGTTTTTCTTTGACTGGCACCTGTTCTTTGCTTGATCTTATCAAGTGTCATCCGACCTATGCAGAACTTTATATTTTTCCAAAGATTTGAGATCACCCTTGGAGATTTATAGAGCACTTTTTCCACACAATGTTCTTCCCCAGCCCTGTGAACTCAGCCCAACTCCGTAGTTCTGAGGTGTGATTTCTGAGTCCTTACCTGACCATAATGACTGTACCTGTGGTTTTCCCTGTTCTGTGCCACAGTCTGAAAGTGACTTCAGGCAAAAACCAGGGTGATGGTGGGGTTCAACTTTTTGGTGTCCTTTCTCACACGGATCACACACAGAACAACCACCAGTGGTTCACCTTAGGAAAAGGGCCACTGTAAATAAATACTACGGAGAGAAAGCCACTCCTGTATCCATTCCTTCTCTAAGGCCGGAAACTGAAGGGTAAAATGCACACATTTTAAAATACTATGATAGTCAAACCAAGCAGGTCTGCTGGTTAATTCAGGGATAGGTCTCTGGTTTACCATCATCTAAATAAAGCATTCTAATTGTTTGTAATTCAGAGAAATGGTCATTACGTGGTTCCCCAAATTAAAAGTCTCAGCAATTTAGTGAAGAATAGACACAGGTTCTGTGGCAGGAGATACTTGGAAATCCAAGCAGCTGGTGTCAAGCTCAGAGCCCCAGTGGACAGCAAGGTCCTGACTCATGAAGAGAAAGAAAATAAGTTAGGTTTCCAAGAAGAAAGAAGACTGGAGACTGATAACTTGAAACAGGGAAAAAGATTGGAGCTAAAGTCCTGGACTGGTTTAACTCAAGGTGGTTAGCTGGAAACGTGGACCTCGGTACCTGTTACTACTGTTGAATTGCAAAAGGAGAGGAGGAAATCCTGATCCAGGGAATAACAGCAGAGCAAGTGGCAAAAATTGGCTCTATCCTAAGTCAATTATATGTGAGATCAAAGAGTGAAGCAGTTTAGGAGTGCAGTTTGGTCAAATTGCATCATCCCTTCCTGATTGGAAACCCTTTGGTTTGGGATTGCATCAGAGTAAAATCTGTATGCCAAAACAACAGAGGTTCTGGCTGGGGCAGACAGAAAATGTGGGCTGAGCGTCATCCTCTCCCTGCAAGCCAGCAAAGCTTTATATGAAAACTTTTTTGAACATTTTCTGCATGTGAATCAAGCCATTTAGAAATTCAGGCTTGTGGATTATTTATCTCAAGAGTTCAATTAGTTAAACAGTGTTAGGAACTTCTGGATATCATCAAGATGGCCCCCACAAAATACAATCTGCAAATATGACACATGTTATGAAATGACCCAAAACCAAAGTAAAAATCCGCACTAAAAATAAAATAGGCAGTAGTAAAAGAATGTTACAGAGGGACATTTATGAGAGTAATTGATCTTTTGATCATTAGGCAAGATATCTATTGATATTTTTTCTTATATCCGTTTCAGGTAAGTGCATCCGCCAGCCTCTTTTTCCCCCCCCTCCCCATTACAAAATGTCCAGCCAGAAGGAGCCAAAATAACTGAGCAAATAATGAAGATGACAGTGGGAACTACCCCAGGGTACTGTTAACATAACATGTGCTCAGAAATACCGAGGACGCAGCAGTTTTCATGCCAGCTACCCAAACTGATCTTACTAAATTCTCAACAATTGCCCTAAGATAGCTTTTGACATTCGGTGGTGGAGTTTTCTTATTTTAAACACCATTATTCATGGAATGAGCATGAGAATACCTGGTAATAATTCCCATTGTGGAGTTCCAGGGTATCTCTGAGATAGGATTAGCATAGGAGTTGAGGATAATGAACTTGAAACTCTAGGAACTTCAGGCTCAGCTCCAGACTGCTTACCATCTTCCCCTTAGGATACATACCTGTTTTAAAAGGGATTTTTTTCCACTAGTATTTGATCTATAATTAAACTCCATGGCAGAGCTCTGCAAAGATGTCTGGACTTTGGAGTCAGAGAGCAGGGATAACAATCCCAGCTTTGAACTAAATTCCTCCATGCCTCACCTTGGCAAGCACCTAACACAATGCTCAGGTGATCAAAAAGCCTTTTCTCATTACCTGAACCCATATACCTCTTCTGCCCCAGCCCAGCCTCTCAGTGCTCCCCATCATATTACCTTGCTTTATTTCTTTTATAGAATTGATCACTACCTAGCATTCGTTGTCCTATTATTTATTTCCTTGCATTAGAATATTAACCGTAACTGCGCAGAAATCCCTTCGGTCTGATCTACTCTTGTATCCCCAACAGCTTCTGGCAAATAATAGATGTTAATAAGTAATTGTCAATAAGTAATTGTCGACAACTATTACATAATTTAAGCCACTCCTGCTTCAGACCCAAATATTCTCTTCCTTCTTCAAACACTTAGACTTCATTATCACAAGCTAATAAAGCAACCAAATGAAATTGTTGATACATAGTAGTACGAGATTTCTTTTCAATGTTTCTGACGTAGATGGTGTTATACCTGGAAACTTGAGATCCTACATATTCTAGTGGTAGGATAGATGAAGGAGACATAGGCTTCCCTAGAAGACTATAAATTACAGTTTAGTGAGGAGTGAGAGAGAATGGAGCAGCAGGCTTATAGACAAATTACAATATAAAACAAATACTGTATAATAGAATTATAGACAATGAGAAGAGTAGGAATTTCTGTCAGGCAGATGTCAGGTTGCAAGAGGAATTTTATTCTAGGAAAGCTTACACAAAATAATGATGTATGAGCATGGACTTGAAAACTAAAGAAAGAGAAAGAACTATTTTCACCAGAATTCACAGTATGAACAAAGACATGAAGCAAAATCTTCCTCACGTTTTTGAGGGGAAGGTACTGATAAATGAGACAGTAGGGCGGTTGGTGGTTTGGTCATGACAGACCTTGTTTACAGGACTGAGTTAAAACTTTTCTAGTTTTTGGAAGTCAGGAAGTACCTCATTCTATTTCTGATAGTTCCAAAGAAATTTCTAAAATATCTGTCATATAAAAGTAAGCAGATAACTTGGGAATCTGTCCATACCTGAATATTGCAAGTTAATTTTCAGAAAATGTGTCCTAGAAGTGTAAGCCTGAGAGATACTTTCAAACCGAAGCATACTCAGCATTTGGTGGATACCCTCTGTATCTACCCAGTGAAAATAAGATTTTTGAGGCTTTTTTCCAAATTTATAGGAAAGGTAATTAAATTTTTTTTTCCATATGGCACTGACGAGAGGATGGAATTAAGACTAATGGAAGCACATTAAGATTTTCACTCAATCCAAATGCTCCAAGAATTAAATTTCCATCTGAATCATGGTCTGGTCTGGGTAGTAGTAGTAAGGATTCCATCCCAAAAGATGGACAAATGGGAGATGAAATTACACTTTTCAAAAATATTTTATGGAAATTCGTGTGTCAGATCATGAGTTGAATGAGATGACCTTCTAAATTCTTTCCAATGCTGGTATTAGAAAATACCATTTATATACCATTTATATGTATATATATATAGCATTTATAATACCATTTATATACCATTAATATGTATTTATATAACATCAAAGTCTATTCAAGTCATCAAGTAGTTTAAAACACCAATATCAGGTGCTGAAAACAAAAAGATACATATGACACAGGCTGGCATTAAAACATAATGCTTAAAGCCTATCATGTTATCTCTGCTTTTCACACATATAAGTCAGGTTCATGGCCCAGCTGCCTGGCTTACCTGGCTATCTGCAGGATGATAGATCACTGTGATCACCACGTAGAAATCAATTGTTTTTTTTGTTTGCTCCATTGATAGCTCCAAGATACACAGTGGAATTAGCATGTGGTTTTGGAGCCACAGTCCTGCTGGTAGTGATTCTCATTGTTGTTTACCACGTTTACTGGCTGGAGATGGTCTTATTTTACCGGGCTCATTTTGGAACAGATGAAACCATTTTAGGTGAGTAACAAAAGCTTGATCTAAATACCTTCTTCTACTATCATTTTCAGAAAACATGTTGCCTTGATAAAAGCTAGAATAACTGGGAGATTTAATCAAACTATCTTTGGTTTCAGCCCTTACTATTAAAAATTCTTCTAATGTACATTATTTTGCTTTCTTGGTTCAATATTTGTTTAGTCTAGATTAGCCTGTCCAAATAGCAACATACTGCAAGCCACATATATAATTTAAAATTTTCTAGTGGTCATAGTAGGAAAAGTAAAAACAAAGTGAAATTTACTTTAATCATATATTTTATTTAACCCAATGTATTTGACATATTATGATCTTAGCAAATCATGCATATTTAAAAGCTAATGGCGATATTTTAGTCTTATTTTTTGGTATTCAAAATCTCACAATTTAGCCTGTGTTGTATTTTAAACTGAAAGCACATCTACATTCAGACCAGCTGCATTGCAAGCGTCCGAGTGCTACGTGTAGCTGTGTTTGCTGTAACTAGACAGTGCAGGCCCACACTGTTGGTACTTAAAGAGTGGTCCAGGCACCAGCAACGTCGGCATCACATGGGAGCTTGTTAAGAGGAGAATCTTAAGCCTAATGCCTGTGTTCTGAGTCAGGAATCTACATTTTGACATGATTCCCAAGTGATTAAAGGGCACGTTGAAGTTTTGGAAGCATGGCACGAGTGTAAATTTGCCTGGTGACAAGAAAGGAACAATTAAACATACTGATTCTTAGACTCCTCCCATAAAGATTTCCAGCCCGTCGGTTTGTGGAAGAGACAACCTATATTTTTACAGAGAGTGATGTTTATAATTAGGCACCTTTGGGAAAGATGGGTTTATGGAATCTGAGTATATTTTTAATTGCAGTTATTTTCAGGTATAAATAATTTAGAGCCTTTCTAAAAGTTTTTCTCCATTTATAATTCTAATGTATTAGTAGTGACAAACTAGGGCGGGAACCATAAATTCTCTGTGTGGTATTAATTGCCAACACCTATGATTGACTATTTGTGTCCTGATTATGTTAATTCATAGTTGAATGAGCCAAACCTCATTTATTCTCCACTATAAAAACAAAACTTAGTGATATGAGAGTAGAAGACACATCAGATAAAATTTGCAATTACACCTTAAAATAGTCATTTTGCCTGGAGACCTGTCACAAGTGGGAAATCACACTGAAATCTGTCAGATAATTCATACAAGTAAGAAAGTTGAAAATGTCTAATACGCACAAGTTCGATTTAAGAAAAAATGCAGTACAATTAGGAAACTTTTCTAATATATATTGGATCTCTCTTCCTTTTGCTAGATGGGAAGGAATATGATATTTATGTATCTTATGCAAGGAATGCTGAGGAAGAAGAGTTTGTGTTACTGACCCTCCGTGGTGTCTTGGAGAATGAATTTGGATACAAGCTGTGCATCTTTGATCGTGACAGTCTACCTGGGGGAAGTAGGTATTTCTCTTGAGTACACGTGATGCCACCCTTCATGCAAAGGGAATCCTTAGTTTGCGGTCATGTGTGAGAGTCATGGTGGGGTTCTGTGTTGGCATCATTGGACACTGAATGTTCAGATGTTTGATGTAATGGAGACTTCTTTAGGAATCAAATTACCTTGTGAGTTATAGATCATTGAGGTGCCATTTATGGTACTAGAATAGCTCCCCTTGTAAGCTTTAAGAACTCCAAGTCAGAAAAGTGTGGGTGCACAGTGGATTAGGACTCTATAAAATGCCTCAGTTTTAAGTGTTCTGCTTACACACATTTAGATTTTTAGAAAGTTTAAGCTAACCTGCATTAATTTCCCTTGTTTTTTTTGGGGGGGGGGCCCAAACATTGAGTTTAAACAACACTTATACAAAGACTGAGTTTTACTTGCTTTTTACTAAGAATGAGTTTGTGAAGAGAATGCATGGCATCTTTCTTAATAGTACTCACTGATAATAATTAGATTATTTCCCTGTGGCATTTACTAATTTCCTTTTCCTCACTTTTATTTTCTAGCAAGCCAATGCTATTTAAATCCCCCCTTTTCTTGGGTCTGTTTCTTCCTTTCTACCAGCTCATACATTTGAGATGTAGTTTAAAATTTTAAAAAGGCCATTCCTATACTCACTGTTAAACTTTGTGCTGTTGAAATGCATGTAATGTGTTTAATCCTCAGCAAAACAAACTAATTTTCCTCCCCTCCAATCCTTTTTGTGTTCATCATTTCAGATGTTTTAAAAATGTTATATGGATAATGGAGATATAAAATAGACTTAAATGTTTATTCTCATTCTGAATTAGCCAGACCACTTATTCTATCTCCTCAGCCATGATCTAGAAGTCCATCATGTTAGTGTTCTACAGTGGCTGTCTCTCTCAGTATTATTTTGCCCGGAAATGGTGACATGATTATACAAGTTAAGGGACAAATTCCATTCCCTTTAAGACTTAAAATCCTAAGTCACTTATTCACCCACTTACTCATTCATTCTGCCATTCAACAAATACTTAGTACAGTGTGAAATTTATATAAAGACAAACAGTATAACAACAATGACCCTCCAAGAGGGGTTGATAATTCTTTGAAGAATTCAAGTTCTACGTAATTACTCTTGCATCTTGTTTCTGATGGTTGATCCTTGTGATCTGCCTTCTCTCTGCTGCTCTTCGTCCTCTTTGCCTCTGGGTCTCTTTCCATGCTCACACGTGGTCTGCTCCAGCAGTACTGCGTGGAGCAGGTAATTACTGATTCCTGGATTCTCCTCCAGGCTGCACATGGAATTTTAATTGCAAGTCTTTCCCCTTTGCCTCTGTACCTGTGAAGATGAAGGAGCAGAATGATTGCTTTGAGGAGTACTGTAAGCCATGAAATAGCTTTCACAGCACTAGTGCATTCCCTGGAATTGGCTTCTATTGGAATCCCAGGTAAAGGATTATACCGTCCTGGATAAGCAGCCCTGAGGAGATGGATTATTTCCAAGAATTTGGTGATGGGAACTAAGCAGAGCCCATGACAACAGAATAAAATTACACTGAATTTCCATTTTCTTTGTTTCTACTTCTTCTTTTCTGACCTGAGGAAAGCATTTGCCTGTTAGTGAAGGCAGACACATCAGCTAGCAGCCTACTGAAACCCGTGTCTTCATAGTAATGAGAGGAGTTTAAGGAGAAAGATGTAGGGACTAATCTAAGCTCTAGAACAGAGAGCAGAATAGAAAGCTGAGCTGAGAATGTGATGCCAGCCAAAATGCCATTCAGTTGGCTAGATTTTTTTTAAGTTCCTATTCTAAGGACATAGTGATACCAGTCTGAGTCAGGTAGGAGTCTGGCAGCAGAGAAGGACTTTCACAAAATGAATGTTCCTACTCTTGCTTTCCTCTGTTAGTGAGAAATGAATTTCCATGATTTTGCCTCTATAATGATTATATTTTTGAATAGCCACTGGCGTGAGAGAGTAAATACATGGGTATTTGGGGGGAGAAGGGGCTCAAGAGCTGATTTGGCTGGGCTGCAGTGTGCCGTGTGGTTTGAGGAAACTGATAGCTGTACAACCCATTTACTTCTCATAATGCTTTTGAAGACCAGGGTTATAGAAGTATACTTGACTTCATGCCTGTTTGGAATTTTTTGGGGGGCTGAAATATGGGCATATAGTTTTCAGTATCTTGGAGGAGTGTGGCATTTATTTGACAGAGTGAGTGGGTCGAAGGATTCCATCGTTGCAAATGTTCTTGGTAAAAGTTTCATCCCAATTCCCAGGCTGTTACCCTAAGTTTCCTACACTTCCCTACACTACACTCAAGCCCCAGGCTTTTGGGGAGTTCTTGGCCAACACTAATCCCCACGGTGTTTTCTTTCTCAGTTGTCACAGATGAGACCTTGAGCTTCATTCAGAAAAGCAGACGCCTCCTGGTTGTCCTAAGCCCCAACTACGTGCTCCAGGGAACCCAAGCTCTTCTGGAGCTCAAGGCTGGCCTAGAAAACATGGCCTCTCGGGGCAACATCAACGTCATTTTAGTACAGTACAAGGCGGTGAAGGAGACGAAGGTGAAAGAGCTGAAGAGGGCTAAGACGGTGCTCACGGTCATTAAATGGAAAGGGGAGAAATCCAAGTACCCACAGGGCAGGTTCTGGAAACAGCTGCAGGTGGCCATGCCAGTGAAGAAAAGTTCCAGGTGGTCTAGGAGTGGCGAGCAGGGTCTCTCCTATTCATCCTTGAAAAATGTATGAAAGGGACAATTAAATGGGTAAAAAGAACCAAGGGCACTCCGGGAAGGAAGAGTGCCCTTTCTTTACTCCCAGCTTGATGTTTCACAGACAGAACAGAATTCTATCAAAGCCTCCCCATAGGGACACATTCAGGGTGACTGTATGACTGGTCGTTCTACTTCCTCAGGCAATGCTATGGTTTAGAATGGCGCGCCACCAGTCCATCACCAGGGAATGACGTCACTATGTTCTTCGCAGGCAAAGACTTGGTTGATGTGAATTTCCTCTTTCTGCATCCTCTGCCCCTGTTCCCACATCTCTATCCCCTCTTTCTCTCTCATTGTTTATAATCTTAACATTGTGGGGCAGTCTTTTGCTGTGGATTTCAAGACCCCTTAAAGATAACTTACCTTTTGACAAGGTCCTTATGGGTTTCCGAGTCATTAAAAAGATGATCGGTGCCCAAATTCGTTTGAGCTGACGACAATGAGCTCTTGTGCTCATTCTGCTGGGCACTGCCCTGTTGCAGCCCGACTGACACCCACAGAGGACGGTGCGAAGCGGTGTAACTGAAAGTGTTCCTTATGATGGTTTGAAAGGGGTTACCGGCATTTTCTCCTACCAGATCCCTTGTGCCCTCCATCTCGGTCATCGATGTCACATTTGTCAACTTGAAAAACATACCGTATTTTTCTTTATTTCAGTAAACTCCTGGATATCTGTAGGTCAACCCGTACTTGTCACTTCATCTTCCCTATCTACTGTACCTCGTATCAACCATTTAGAGTTTGCAGATGGCTCTACACTTGGTTCAGTCTGACAGGAAGCTTCTAATGGTGCTAAGAGAGAGTGAAATAACAGCAAAATGCTTTTAGGGCATGTTCTGGCTTGTGAGAAAAGCACAGAACAGGGCGTTCAGCAATTTGTCTTTTCATCTTAGCCTTGCTAATGTGAATATTAGAAAAGTGATTTCTCCTCACGTGTTCTGTCTCTCCACTGTAAAATGTGGAAGTTAGACTCAGTGACCTTGCAAGTTGCTTTTGGCATTAATACTCTAAGAGAATTAACTGGACCACTCAGTATTTTCCATATTTTATTCACTGGTACAGTTAATACACTCAGTCCAAACATGTCAGTCTGGAAAGTCTCTTCCATGAAACTTGTTTTACTTTAAGTAAAATCTTAAGACTTGGAAAAGTGAAAACTAAGTCCAGAGTTTACAGAGTGGTGAATACCTGCGGTGTACACACACACACACACACACACACACACACACACACACACACACGTATGTGTATGCACATGCCCACGAATCATGTATGTATAGATCTACATTGTATGTAGATATATACACATGTTGATTGTATATGTGTGTATATATGTATGTATGCATTTGTGTGTGTGTATATATATATATGCACACACCCTTATGTACACATACATGTGACTTTAAATAGATATTGGCACAATATTACAAACCACTGGGACTCTCATCCAGTTTTTAAGTTATGTTTTTACTGTAATTCCTTTGTGTTTCCTGTACATTATTTGTAAAATCACAACTCACAGAGAAGTCGTCGTTAGTTCTCACCTTCCCTAAATTAGTAGGAATAACTTACTGCTGCTACATTTGGTCTGGGTGCAGTGGAATCTGTTGGACACAGAGCTTCTGTGGTCACTGCTGAGCAGTACCAGTCCCTGGCATTAATTGATCATCTACTATGTTGCAAGCATACACTCTTAGAAACTAAACTATGGTAATCTTAGTGTTCAACTACTACGGAGATAAATCTCTATTTGGACTGTTAAGTAGTGGAGAAAAGGAAAATAAAATACTTATAAATAAGGCTGAGCATCCTGTGAAACACCATAATTCATAATTTAAAGGAACCCTTATCCCAGCATTATGAATGTTGATAACCAATTCTAAAACTATCTCCTGCATTTAAGTGTCCTTCATCAGTGTTAAGCCCATAATAAATCATTTCTCTATAGTGAAGATATCATTTTAAATTGAAGAAAAGAAAAACTTCATGAATTCCTGACTGTAAAACTATGGTATGGAGTCATTCATCCTCAAGACCAGAGGAAGGCTGACTCCAGATAAGCTTTGAATATCAATTGCATGAGCTTTAGGTAATGGGGAACTGTCCCATCACAAGGGGGACATTCTCTTGCCATTGCTGCATTCTTTTGCACTTTTGGATTCGATATTTATCCCAAATGCTTTTGGGTACCCCTAGAAACTTCTTGATATTCCTTTTCTTATTTATCTACTGATCTTTGATATTGAAATTTTCCAAATGCTAAAATCTAAACATCTCACATCTAAATGATACATTTTGTCTCATTCTTAGAGAATTTTGTTTCGAGGATTTTTTGTTTGTTCTCATTCTTAAGATAATTTTGTTTCAATGTTTTTCTGTTAGTTTTAAGTCCCAGAAGATACCTGTTACAAAATTTTTGAGGGAGATGAGGAAATATAATTTTGAGAGCAAGGAAAAATTGCTCCATAATATTAAAAAAACTATCTCTAATGCTTAAAAAAACCTTAATGGTTCCAGGTATATGATATAAAGATCTTCTGCACCCAAGTTAACAAAGAACCATGACATATAAAGTGTCTAATTACATGATCATATAAAATTTATTTAATTATCTTTTATGTTGTAACTTAGGTGATTCCCTAGGATTCTAATAAACGAGCATTCCATTGTATTGGGAAACAAAAGCATCATTCCACTTGCTAATTATCCATTTATTTGCATAGGTTTTAATATTTTAAGATTATCTTATTATCTTTTTATTTTATTCATAAACTTTTGTATTTTCCATTTTCCATTTGATTTGTAAATTTGTTTATTTTAAAAATAAACCATTTATTTTCAGATTTGAATTTTATTTTGTGCATGTGTTTTATGTCTTTATTTTCATGTTTGGGCATAAGAAATGAGAATAAAAAGAATTAATGATACACATAAAAAGAAATGTTAGAAGCTACATTAGTTAAATTTCTCTTTCTGACAGAAATCTGAGAAAAATGGGAATTTTATATCAAGAACATTTTTTACATGTGAATAAAAAAGTTATTTAAATAAAATGAATTGTTCTAGTGTGCCAGGTTGTGTGTGTGTGTGTGTGTGTGTGTGCATGTGTGCCTGTGCATGTATGTGTATGTGTGTGTTTGTGTGTGTATGGAGACAGAGGACGAATAACATACAGCTAAAAGAGAGCAATGGGCTAGGAGATTAAATGTTGCAGTAGTATTTTTTATTCACATGTATTTTAAAGTAAATAGACAGAATTTTTTAAATTTATTATTCACTTATGAATCCACTTATAAATCCATATTAAGGTGATTCTTTAAAGTTACCATGAAGAATTGATTCAAATTCAATTAACATTAGCCCTACATTAGTTTAATATTGTGTTCACTAGATTTAACCAAAGTGATTAATTCAAATGTCTATGATCTGTAGACATTTACATATTGCTATTTTTAATTTTTAACCATCCTGTAAGTTTACTCTTATTGTATGCATTTTATGGATGGATGATTTGCTGCCCTTGCATACATCAGTAACCTACCAGAGAACAAAACTACAGTCCTAGTTTTCCTCTAGGTGAATTCCAGGGAGATTGTGACTTAAAGGCAGGAGTATTCTAGAGCATTGATGAATTCTAGATCAGAAAACATGACTTCAAAATTAATTTAGTGCCACACAAGACATCTGGTTTCATCAGTCTATAGCCACACCTTACTTTTTTGAACCCAACAGAATAAATGACCCAGTTTATGACTCCCTCTCCAAATAATCTTCAGTATTGAAACATAACAATTCACATTCTCAACTGTAGTTTTACAATATGAAAAGTATTAAAATATGCCATAAAGGAGGCAGCTTCCTTCAAAATAATGTGTGAAGATCCCTAGGAATAGCCCATTCCCCCAAATGATAAGCATCTTCTCCATTACATTCCTCAATGTTACTGAATTCCACTACTCATATCTGTTTCTTTAGCATTGCCCTATTTCAAATGCAAATTTTACATTTTCAGGATGGGGTGCCAATAATTAGAAAAACACACACAGAGTCTTTCTTTAGAGGATATAGGACAGCATTTTATTTTCAACAGTGATATCTCCATTGGACAGAATATACATTGTCTTAATGTGACTATTTTGAAGTAAAATACACAATACACACACATGAACACACATACAATTTGCGCAAAGTTCCTTTTGGTGAAACCCATCCATGCTGCCTTAAGGTTATATCGTATTTCTCATGAGACAGGAGGAGCAGCAGATATTCTACTTGTACATTCTCAGGTTTATGAAAGGCAGGTACAAAAGTTCTCAGTAGGATTGGGACAAAGAAGTGTCCAACACACACACACGCACGCACACACATGCACGTGCACACACACACAGGCTTTGAAGATAAATAAAACTTTAGATTTATCTTTTAAGATCAAAGTAAAAATTCTCTAAAACTACTTCACACTCTTGACAAAACTAGTTAAAGGATCCTCAAAATTGAGCACATGTCTCTTCCAATTACCCTTCAAATTTATGTTAAATTTACTAATTGGAAAGAACTAATCTGGCAAGGAGCACAGCTCTTTTACTCTCTCAAATTCATAATGATCAAAATTCACTGCAAACTTTCAGCTTGTCTTCACAGACTAGAAGGTCTCTCCATCACTGTTTCATCACTGAGGTACTCAACCTCATGGTCTGTCTGCACCTGTTTTCAGCATTGTCAATGGCTGATTTACACATTTGGAAATCCTTTCCTTCAGAAAATCACATTATTTAATCCCTTAAATTTCGTGATGAGCTAAGAACTACATTTATCTCTGGGACTTTCCATAGGAATCTCTGGCCAAATCCCCCTCAGTACATATTAAAAGTTAGTGCTTTGTCAGAAGTCTTAACTAATTGATACCTGCCCATTGTCTGTTGTTACCCCTTTAATTGATTTTTAATCCCATTTTTCACACTTATACATGAAAAAAAGGAGAGAGATTTTAGTTGATAACAAGATCAATACTATGAACTGTCTGATGTTGTGTCCAAAAATTTTAAGAATCAAAAGATATAACTGTGGTTTTTAGAAGATGGTAATTCCCTATAGCTCTTTGCTGATCAGACTATGTCTGGAGCATTGTGTTGAGGCCAGTTCAAGGTATTACTCTCAGGAAATACTATATAAATTGAATGTTACTCAGAGGAAAATGATAAAAGTGGGGGAAGAGATTTGATACCATGTCTTATGGAGAATAAGATAAAAATTCTAAAGCTGATCCTAATCTAAAAATGAGAAGAAAATACAGTGAGGTAAAAATAGTTGTGAAATATTTTAAACATGTGAAAATATCAGATCCAAGACCACCAGGTAAAATTGGCAGGGGAGAATATTTCAAAAAAATAATTTACAAACAGGTGAAATTAACTGATTTTAGAGGTGGTATATTCCTCATCCATGAAGGTAGCAGAGACTTGGCAATCATTGATAAGAGTGGTGTTTAAGTGAGATTCATTAGCTGGGTAGATTACTTAACACTGAGATCCTATATTCTTAAGTGTTTACTTATTGCTACTTTGTAGGATGGACAATGATGAACTACAGCTTATGTAAAGTTTCACTAGGCATTGTCCTATCTTTCCATTTTCCTATAGATACAGTGGAAGCAGTCTTTGACTTCATTCAGAGAAGCCGAAGGATGATTGTTGTCCTGAGCCCAGACTATGTGACAGAAAAAAGCATCAGCATGCTGGAGTTTAAACTGGGTGTCATGTGCCAGAACTCTATTTCCACCAAGCTTATTGTGGTTGAGTACCGTCCCCTTGAGCACCCACACCCAAGCATCCTGCAGCTGAAGGAATCTGTGTCTTTTGTGAGCTGGAAGGGAGAAAAGTCCAAACATTCTGGCTCTAAATTCTGGAAGGCCTTGCGGTTGGCACTTCCCCTGAGAAGTCTGAGTGCCAGCTCTGGCTGGAATGAAAGCTGTTCTTCCCAGTCTGACATCAGTCTGGACCATGTTCAAAGGAGGAGAAGTCGTTTGAAAGAGCCCCCAGAACTCCAGGGCTCAGGGAGAGCATCAGGCACCTCTCCAGGCCCAGACATGATGTCCAAGCACAGAGGGAAGTCCTCTGCAGCCTGTCGCTGCTGTGTCACCTACTGTGAAGGAGAGAGTCACCTTAGGAGCAAGAGCCGGGCAGAGATACATACCCAGCCCCAGTGGGAGACACACCTCTGTAAGCCTGTTCCCCAAGAATCAGAAACTCAATGGATACAAAATGGCACCAGATTGGAGCCCCCCGCTTCCCAGATCTCAGCCCTTGCT